TGCTCATTTGTTTTTACAGCGGTGTATTTTCACATTGCTGCCGTTATTTCATTACTACAGTTTAACCTCGCACCAGGTTACTAAACAAAACCCTTGAAGAAAGCCAACCAAACACGCTTTTATACAAAGACCAGGTTTTGGCTTCCCTTTCTAACCAGCAGTTAAGGTCAGCACAGTTTTTTCTAAAGGAGTAAAGAAAACATGTCCACCCCCCCCACCCCCAAATTTTAAAAATTAACAACTTAATTTACTGCTGTCCCGTAAACTCCTCACACCTAGATTCTCCCTCCCAAGATTCCTACAAAGCCGGGGGGGAAAAAAAGTCAACAGTCTTTGTGTAAGTTTTGTTCTACCTAACACACACGCCTCACCATTGTGAGATTTAAACTACAGTTGCAGCTGCCCTGGTGTAAGCTCCCTACTCCAAAAATGATCAGTAATTGTGCAGTTTATTCCTAGGACAGTGAAAACTATGTAGGGGAGAGGAAAACCAGTTAACATCACCTGGCATTTCATAAGAAATCTGAATTAAATTCTAGGAATATAATCCTTCTTTCCCTTCTCCCACAGCCTTGAAAAATTTTAGGACCAGCTTTATTACACAAGTGGCACATAACTACGCTGTCATATAGAGCAGAGAAAAGCATTAAATGAAAGTTTAAAGAAAGGGATCAACAGAATGACTGCATGTCTTCAGCTTCACCATCCCAGACCCTAACAATAATTCAAGCAGTGAAATCATATCAGTATCACAGATAAACATTAAAGGGAGGGAAGAAAAAAAAAAAGAAGAGTATTTATTTATTGTTATACAGCAACATTTCCTCATGTTGTTTAAACAAAGTGTAAAGCTCTAAAACAAGCACAAACTAATGTCTTGGTAAAGAAGTGGAACTTTTTATGTAGCTTGGGCATTCTCACACTGTGCGCTGTGCTTGCCCCTCTAAATTCTAAGAGAAGAGAGTAAGTTACCAACCCTATCCTTTTTACGGATAGTTCTTTCAGGCCCAGTATGGGCTTCCCTCCTCTCCAACCAGTGCTACCAGGTAGATTGTCTTGCAAGTCAGCCTGAACTGCTAAGCATTCACAGCAGTCACCCCGGCTTCTTTCAAAAGCAAGACCCTGCAGAGACAGCTGCATGTGAATAAATCCAGCTGAGAGCAAGAAGCTGCCTCCTGCGTGGCAGTAGCTGAACAGGCACTCTAGACCCACTCTAGAATGGCTGAATCTGCTTTTTTTGGGATGGGAATCATGATGAAACGTATTTATTACTTTGTATTATCTTATTACTCAGATAAGCAGCAGCTTTGAAGCAAACAAGGGCTGTGAGTGATAACTCATTCCCAGTTTGCATCATATCCCACCTTGCCAACACTGTCACCTGAAGGAAGAGTACATCACTCACATGCAAAGCCACACTGGCAGAAACATAATTATTCATGCTACAGGATGGAAGTCAAGTGATTTTACAGCACCTGTTACCATTACAAACCTCACATGCAATGGCATTTTTTCCTTCTGCTACAGCAACAGTAAGAAGGTAGCGGAGTGTGTCTGAGACGGAAGCAGCCTCTTCCTGAAGCACCGCGTGGTAATTTCTCTCTGAGTTACCTAATTTAAGGGCAACAGGGAGCAACTGGAAAGCCAATGCTGCGTGTTATGGTCTCCAAACCTAACAGTAGCACGAGGAAGAGCTTGTGAGGTCACAAGTTAACCACGAGAAAAAGGATCCCTTTGACCGCTATTTTGCACTCAAGAATTCTACAGTTTTGAGTTTGTTACACCTGTTGAACAAACAGTCCCATCGTTAAACACAATGTAAACTGTGGTATCAAGGCAGGTGTACATATGGACATACATCAGTTGAAAGTACTCTTTACAGTACACGCTATATTGAGAAATCATGCAGAAGAGCAGCTATATGTTACTTCATACACCTGCTCCATCAGCACTGCTAATTTCATCTGTCTCCTCACAACAAGTAGTGCTATGGATGGAATATGCTTCGATCTTGTGACTGTCTCTGCCTTAACACACTGTGAAGCTGTTGCACATGCTGGCATGGACTTCCTATTAGATACACAACCTTCCTCTAAATGGAGGGTAGCTATCATTTCACATCTTCCTGTAAGGTGAAGGGAAAGAATGAATTTCAATCACTTTTTCTGTATTCAAAGTGGGTGACACATTGGTACTTTACAGAACCATTAATACTGGGGCACATCGTATGCTGCCATACTCCTCACTAATCCTCTCGCCTTTTCTTCCACCTCATGTTACAGATTCGCTACAATTCAGCATCCAGTTTTGCCTACGGCCATGTACTACTAATTGTGTTTTGTTTTATGGTGTAGAACAGTTCCTACAAGAATGATACACTAAGAACAAGCAACTCTTCCTAGGCTTTTCATTTTTATTCATGCTGTTCAATTCTGTATCTGAATTGCTCAGAAACCTGTAAAACAAAGACCTGATGTATTTTTCATGAAGCTTTCCTTTTCTGAAAAGAAAAAAAATGCACTTTTTACCTCAATCTGCTCTTCGATGCTTTCTTCATATTTATTCATGATCACACCTTCTTATCTCTGCCCCTCCCATTGGCTTTCCTCTGCCTCCAAGTTTCACCACTTTTTAGTAACGCTTCAATTCTCATTGTTACTTCTCACTCATTTTCCTCAGTAACAACCTTTTTGCTTTTCCTTCCTGGGATCTTGGTAAGGTTCTGGAAGCTGAGAGGTTAAATGACCTTAAAATGTTCTCGTGGAAGTCTGGCTTCTTCAACTCATTGCTCCAGCTCTATGATCTGGTTAAAACTCAGAACATCTCCCTCAGTATCTAAGTAACTGCCAGGATCGCCCATTTCACTGTCTCGACCTTGGGTAACCTATAAACAAATCTGAATACAAACAAGCAGTGACAATTCTACATTTTTTAACCAAATCAGGGCTAACAGCATAAGAGCAACTTTTTTTCAATATAGTCTGCTAATAGCAGAGAGCTACCATCAATTGCTTCCTATAGCATGGAAAACAACGGAAACCTAAACAATGACAGCAGGAAGCAACTAACAGCCATTAGTAACTGGATACCAGTAGGTCGTAACTTCACAGATTACAGATACATTAACCCCAGGACAGAAAGAAAAATGAACTTTTGGGAAAAGCAGGAGGGAGGACACACAGGGCAGATAGCTGAAACCTCTTCAGTGCAATCTTATGACATCCCAGAAGTAAGTTTTATGACAACCAAGACTGCCACTCTGTGCCATTCCTTTAAAAATGTTGTTTTTGTAATAGTTCTTAAACATTTAGTCATTAGATCCACCCATCAAATTAAAAGGGTAAAATGTCTTGGACAACTCTACACATTTTATGTTTATGTAGTAGAGAAGCTAAATTAAGAATATGTCTCCATAGTAACATGGGAGTAAAACATCAAAATTAAACATGATTTATTCATCATTGCTGCTTATACCGCAAATAATTGATGCTTGTAAGACATTTCTATTTCTTCTCTTGACAGACTTGTAAATGAGAATTATTTTGTAACCCAAACATTCTATTTCAGCTGTTTAAAATGATTATTCAAATTTATTTTTTCCAACAGAGTCAACTCAATAAGGCCTAGAAACCCTGACAAATGTTTCAGTCTAAAGATTTTTTTTTAAGCTTTAAGAGTTCACTGCATAGCTTCAGCAGTTAGACATGAGAAAGCAGTGATGATCAGAGGGCTGGAGCACCTCTCCTATGAAGACAGGCTGAGAGAGTTGGGCTTGCTCACCCTGGAGAAGGCTCTATGGAGACCTTATAGCAGCCTTCCAGTACCTGAAGGGGCCTACAGGAAAGCTAGAGAGGGACTGTTTACAAGGGCATATAGTGATAGGACAAGGGGGAATAGGTTTAAGCTGAAAGAGGGTAGATTTAGATTAGATAATAGGAAGAAATTCTTCTCTATGAGGGTGGTGAGGCACTGGGAACAGGTTGCCCAGAGAAGTTGTGGAGGCCTCCCTCCTTGGAAGCGTTCATGGGATGGGGCTTTGGGTGACCTGGTCTAGTGGAGGGTGTCTCTGCCTGTGACAGGGGGATTGGAACTAGATGATCTTTGAGGTCCCTGCCAACCCAAACCATTCAAATTCATTGAAGCAAAAAATAAACCCTTATTTCTCACTCATTCAGACCTATTTAAGAGCTTTGCCATGTACTTGGAAATTAGAAAACTGAATAAGCTTTCTTTTGGTTGTGGTGTAACAGAATTTTTGCAGCCATTTTTAAGTTAGATAACACATGGTAACTTCAGAATTAGGAACAAAACTAAATGAAACTTGACTGTGATTAAAATCTAAAGAAAGCAACCAAAAACCAAACTGACAGTAGCACTGTGCTACTACCTCATATACAATTTTCCCTTTTCTCAGTTTAAGAATAGATATCCTGCTGTTAAGATTATACCTGTAACATTGTATGCAGAGTTACAAACACACCACTTTAGTCATATCAGTAATGCCACCATGATAACTTTATTCCACTCAAATCTATCATATTCTCCTGTTTAATGATGCACTATTTAGTTGTTTGCATTCAAATATGCATATAAACATCCAAAAGAGTTACCATAACAGTTTTTATTAAAAAACCTAATGTACATGTTTTTCCCCAGTACAGCTATATTTTTCTTAAAAAGTACTGTATGTATCAAACATTTAAGGTTTATTCCATCACTGCCAATTGTCTTTGAAGAGCTGTCAAACATCTCCAACTTTAATGGACTTCAGTACAGCCTCAAGAAAAAGCTTTTAGCTTTCTAAATGTACGAGAAGAGGCTTAGTATTTTGTGGCATGAAGACAACATGCCATTAACCAGTAATCCTTGTGTTTACAGCATTCTTTCAGGAATGATCTAAACTCCAAATCCCAAGTGATAATTCATACCCTGCATAAAACTAACACAAGATACATTAACGTTATTCAGATGAATAGATAGCATTTGGAAAGGTCTGTCAGCATTCATATTTTTAACAGCTCTTTAAAGAGGTAACGGTGCGGATTAAGTACAAGCTTTTTGCCTCAGTATAATACACATTTGAAATTAAAATAAAACATGGAAGACCAATATCTTTATAGTTTATTCTTCAGAAAAAGAAGAATCTTAAAGAAAGCATTTAGTAGTCCACTTGTGCTTAAAATATTCAATGCATGAGAAAGCCAAAGAAAAAAATACACATTTTTGTACACCATGATCAAAAAGATAACATTATAAATTTTCAGAAATTGCACTGTATTTAAAACACTCTCTAGAATCTGCTCCACTTCTACATATGGCTACTGAGGCTGCCTGACACCAGTTCCTTTTCCACTTTAATTGCCAACCTGTGGAGGCCCTTCAGGGATGAGTGATGTGAAGAAGGTTGTGATAAAGGACCAAGCAGAAGCCATGAATCCAGGCTGCTGCTCTGTATTGGCATCTTCACCTATGTCTTCTCCACTGTCTTCATCGATCCCATCATCCATAAGTCGTTCCTTTAAAAACAGAAATTGAAGCAATTCAAGTGCTTCTTTTTAAAGCTCTGACATACGGTAACCAGCAGTATCTTCCTACATTAAGCAACTTCTCTCAGAACAACCTCCTGAAGAATAACTAGCATGAAGAAAGTCTGTGATTGAAGTAGAGACAATCAGTAACTGTCAGACTGGAAAAATACAGAACTTAAGCAGCAGGCGTAACACTGATGACAATGCTGAAGGCTTTCTAGTTAAACCAACTACATTTCCTAAAAGTTGACTTTCTGTCCAGACATTACAGTATACTTGACGATATAATACACAGGAGTCTCGAGAGACCTGTCTGCTCTTACTCACCATCTCTTCAAGATCAGGATTATTTGCATGTTGCCCATCACGGTTGACTTCCACGTTATTGGCTGCCTGTTGTTGGCCTCCCTCTTGCCTGAAGGGGAACCATCCAGCTTGGTGTCTATGTAAGACAACAGAACAGTTGAAAACCTCTCTTTTGAAAGGAATAAAAAAAAATATTCTGCTACAGCTAACTACTGCAGTAAATTCTTCAAGTACTTTCAAAAGAATAAAGCTACATTTATTTTTCTGCAAGTCTGACTTCTAGATTGAATGGCTGGGTTAAGAAGGGTCTTGCTAAGAGCTGTTAAGTTTCAGAAGTGCTGTTCCCAGCCCTCTGTTCCAGAAGGTGAATAATTTACCATAAATAGGTGAAAACATTTTTTTGGGTCTCCTCCCCATTTTTAAGTACTGAAGTTATATTAAATTTTCAAGGCAACCTTAGTTTTCATAGTTTAAAGTTGATTTTCTGTGGAAAAAAGAAGTTCAGCTAAGGCTTGAACCACGCTACTGTTGTAAACTAAACAAGCCTCTCCTACGTCTTCAAGCATCTATATTCAGATTTCGACTATCATATCTGCATGAGAAACAGAACAGTCCTTGTGAGAATGGAGAATACGGTCTAAGGAAACTCTCAATGAATGACATCAGTCCAAAATATCAAGCATTACTGCTGTTTTCCACTTCCTTTTATATATGAAAATACCTTAGTCATGTAAATAGAAGTGATGATAACAGTACTGACATTTCTTAATAAGAAAGAGAGAGAACTTAGGTCTTTCCAACGCATTGTAATAAAAAAAAAAATCTGTAAGCCCCTGCAATTCTACCAGATCTAGTATCCACCGCTACAGTGGCACTACCTTAAGTCTGCCTAACACAGTTTACTGTACAAATCTCATAATTTTTGAAATATAAGTAAGCTGAGCTGCAATTTTCCTTCCATATCCAAGCAGTGTTTTAAGTTTATGCAAGCATAAGCTTGACCTATATAAGCTTCCTTCCCCTCACCTTCTAAATTTTCATCCCAAAATTATGTTTCTACAATACTGATCTGTTAATATCACCAACATTTAAAAGCACTGTGTTTCATGTATAAGTGGTATCCAACTTACTGTACAAGTGTTCTCAGATTTTCTGGTGTTTTTTTGTTTTTAAACACATACCCACCCCATACTGTAAAGGGCCTTTGCCTCAACTTCTATACTTGGATAATTTTTCACAGTTTAAATGGATTGTACACTAGCACCATACTCCACATATCAGATCTGCAGCTGTACTCAACTGTTGTACTCACAAATAAACCAGCAGCATGGCTCCCATTACCATGACAAATCGACTGAAGGAAGAATAGAAGTATACAATGCTCAGAAGAATTGCTGCTCTAGAGAATGTGTACATCCAGTCCAGCCAGTCCCGGTTGAAGTCCTCCTCATTGACTACCGGGCCACCCTGTGCATTCATCTGAACATTCGGGTTTACAGGCCTATTGTCCTGGACGGCTACATTTGGCGCTGCTGCGGGCTCATTTGCAGGAGCACGTTCTGAATTTACAGCCTGGGCAACTGCAGATCTCACGGGCTCAGTGCTGGAAGTCACTTGGGCCGAAACAGCAGCTTGGCTAAAAATGTAAACATAAAACTAGTTTATCAAAAAACATGCACCAAAGTTTTTAAGCCTATTCTTGTTGTCTCTTGCACACTAATAAAAACAAAGTTTCAGATGTAATACATGTCAAAAAAACTGCATTTGCCCTTAAATCTTTACTTATTAATACATTAATTAAATTCCAGTCCAAAACTGGATTTTACAATTTGCTGGACAAAGTACAGAACAGCACTGCCAGACAAAAACGCAGACATTTTTATCTCACAAACAACATTTAAGTTTTTAATACCTTTCATTAGTGTAACTCAGTACTACCTAAGATAATGCAGACTTACTATTGCATGTAGTACTGACGTGCATACATTTGTTGCCACCAGATCATCTGTAAGGGACTGAATGCAGGATACATAGAAAATCCAGCAGAAACACCTTGGCCTGGAAATTGGTTGCCTATATTGCTATGAAAGGATTTAAAGAAAAACAATCAGTTCTAAATTGCCACATTTATAAAATACTAATAATATTTAA